AAGGTTTCGAGGACGACTCTGCTATATACCAAACTGGTATGTCATTCTCCTTGAGCTTGATTATGATGGACCTGACCTTTGTACTACAGATAGGATGGGCTGTGTTCGCTGGTTTCGAGCTTGCACTCCTCGTCATCTGGGCAAACCGACAAACACGCAACAACCGTGCCGAACTCGCATCAGCTGCTATCAGCTTCATCGGCGCAGTCTTATTGGGATTTCTCTCCTTCGTTGAGCACATGAGGTCGATACGTCCATCGTTCCTGCTCACGGTATACCTATTCTTCACCAGCATATTTGATATCGAACGCTCCCGCAGTTATGCACTCACACCCGAGCTGGACCTCGTTGCCACGGTTTTCGCCTCACGCCTTGCTGTGAAAGTATTTCTCGCCATAGTTGAAGCGCGAGACAAGCGACAGCTCCTTCTCCCAGACTTCGCCAAGAACCCAACGGAGGCTACCAGTGGTGTTTACAGGCGGGTAACGTTCTGGTGGCTGAACCCGCTCTTCAAGAAGGGATTCTCCACTTCACTGACTGTCGACGACCTTTTCCAGCTGGACAAACACTTAACAGCAGACTACCTGCACCATCTAATTGGCTCGTCGTGGGCAAGAGGTAAATTATGATTACCCTGCCTCTGTATCTACCGTCCACTAACCCGGGGGATATAGTTGCGAACGTCGGTACACATTCTCTCTTCGGAACGACATTGAGGAAATTGAAGTGGCCCATACTGGCAGTTGTTCCGCCCAGACTATGTCTGATTGCCTTCAACTTCTGCCAACCATTTCTGATCGAAAGAGCTGTCAACTTCTCCCAGGAGGCCGAGACGGCGCAGACGGCCAACATCGGATATGGATTGATTGGCGCGTACATCATCGTTTTCATCGGCATTGCAGTCAGTAAACCAATCTCGTGCAACCAGGTTGCCTCGCTAACATGCCTCGTAGATCTCCACCGGGCAATACATGCATTTCACCTTCCGATTCATCACACAGATGCGAGGTGGCCTCATCTCTATGCTCTACAACAAAGCAACAGAAGTCACGTTGACAGACATGGATCCAGCATCTTCCATCACACTCATGAGTGCTGACGTCGAGCGTATCGTCACCGGTATGGAGACTGGTCACGAGGTATGGTCTAATACACTTGAGATTGCCCTCGCAATGTACCTCTTGGAGCGACAACTCGGTGCCGCCTGCGCGATCCCTATCGGCGTTGCTGTTGGTAAGCTTCACTACAACTCCATGCTCCATTCCCCGCTAATCGCCCTCAAGTATCATTGCTCGGCTCTATAGCAGCCACTAGCTTGGTGATGCAACGTCAAGCACTCTGGCTCGAAGGCATCGAGCGACGCATTGCAGCCACCAACTCCATGCTGAACTCGATGAAGGGTGTCAAGATGGGTGGTCTTACCGAGGTTCTGCGAGACGATCTCCAGAAGCTCCGGGTTGATGAGCTAAACATCTCGAAGAAGTTCAGAAAGCTCCTCATCTGGACAATGGGATTCTGTAAGTCATCAAATCTCCGCAGTCTATGTTCATGCACTGATCGTTTATAGCTTACATCTCGCCAATCGTGTCACCTATTCTGGCATTTGCGGTCTTCTCTATCATCGCGCAAAACAGTGACGGTAGAAGCACCCTCGACACCGCAACTGTCTTTACTTCACTCTCGCTGTTCACGCTTCTTACAGAACCACTCGGGTCGCTCATCATGGCTCTTTCCTCTCTGATGGGAGGCGTCGGATCGTTCAAGAGAATCCAAGACTTTCTCACATTGGCTCCGCGCGATGAGCACCGTAAATTTCCTTCCATCTATGGTGGTAGCACAGCGTGCCTTTCAGTCGCAGGCACCGAGTCAGACAAAGGCTCTGAGACTTCTCAAAAAAGCCGTTGTTCTATCGAGGTCAAGGAGTACAGCGCTCTTGGCTCTCAGGCCATCGTCATTGAGAACGGCTACTTCGGATGGGATCCGGTCAGACAGCCATCTGGTACCTTGCAGGACATCGACATGATCGTCCCACGCGGGAAGATTACCATGGTAGTGGGACCGGTAGGGTGTGGTAAGTCAACCCTGCTCAAAGCAGTGCTCGGAGAGTTACCTGTCATGGGTGGCTCGCTGCAGGTGTCTTCCCTACGGATCGCCTTGTGCGACCAAACTGCATGGCACGTGAACGGCACAGTGCAGGAAAGCATCCTCGGTGCTGCCGTGTTTGATCAGCGGTGGTACTCGTCGGTAGTGCGGAGCTGCGCATTAGACGAAGATCTACGGCAATTGCCCCAGGGTGACCAAACCCAGATTGGCAGCAAGGGTATCGCATTGAGTGGAGGCCAGAGCCAGCGAATTGTGAGACACCCCAATATGCACCCCTCTTTCTACTTTTGGACTTTACTGACCACCACCCCTCCGCAGGCACTAGCCAGAGCAGTCTACGCTCAGAAGGACATCATCATCCTCGATGACTGCCTTAGCGGCCTTGATGGCCAGACCGAGAACCGTATATGGCACAGTCTCTTTGGTCACGAGGGACTATTAAAGCGGTGCCGAACCACAGTTCTCGTTGCGTCATCATCGGGTATGTGATATTAAGTCATTCGTCCACCTCGTCCACGTGCTAACATCTCCCTTCTACCACAGCCAAACGCGTACCTTACTCTGATCACATTGTCGCCCTCGACAAGGACGGCAGGATTTTGGAACAAGGTCCTTTCGAGAAGCTGAACAAGTCGGGAGGCTACGTGTCGGGCTTCGACCTTGCACTTCCTGACTGGGACTACCGTGCGGAGAAGCACATCTACGAGGAGCCGCCCAGGTACACCGAGCGTCTAGCCACCGACAACCAGCTCACAGAGGATGACGTGCAAGCTGAAGCGAATCGTCGTACTGGCGACACAGCCATCTACCTCTACTACATTGGTACTGTGGGCTGGATTCCTACAATCATCTTCATCTTTTCTATCATCATCTTCATCTTCGGCATCTCCTTCCCCACTGTCTGGGTGAAGATGTGGGCGGAATACAACGAGGAGAACCCCAACGAGCGACTCGGATACTGGCTTGGCATCTATGCCATGCTTGGTGGGTTGGCACTCTTCTTCCTGATGGTCAGTTGTTGGCAGCTCATCATCACCATGGTCCCTCGTTCTGGCGTCACGTTCCACAAGAAGCTGTTGGATACAGTCCTTGGGTCTCCCATGTCTTTCTTCTCTACCACAGATACCGGAGTCACGCTCAACCGCTTCAGTCAAGATCTCATGTTGATCGACATGGAGTTGCCAGTGGCCGCGCTGAACACTTTCGCCACATTCGTCCTCGTCATCGGACAGATGATTCTTATCGCTGTCGCTGCTCCCTACGCAGCTATTTCCTTTCCTGTCGTCATCGTCGCAGTCTTCTTTGTTCAAAAGTTCTATCTCCGCACATCGCGCCAACTTCGTTTCCTCGATTTGGAAGCCAAGTCACCACTCTACACTCAGTTCAATGAGATACTGGAAGGTCTAGCGACCATCCGCGCATTCGGATGGCAGAGTTTCGTTGAAGAGAAAGCAAAAGCTCTACTTGACCGTAGTCAACGGCCCTTCTACCTGCTCTTTGCGGCTCAGCGTTGGTTGACACTCGTACTGGACTTGGTCGTTGCAGCTGTTGCAACGATCCTCATAGTGCTGGTAGTCACCTTGAAAGGCAAGCTGAGTGCGGGATACGTTGGTGTAGCGCTACTCAACGTGGTACTGTTCTCTCAGAGTATCAAGTTGCTCATCTCTTTCTGGACCCAGCTCGAGACGCACATCGGAAGTGTAGCCAGGATCAAGAACTTTACCGCCGATGCCGTGGCAGAGGACTCTGAGGGCGAAGACCACATTCCGCCCGCCAGCTGGCCAAGCGCCGGCAAGATTGAGTTCAGAGGCATCGAAGCATGCCACCGGCCCGGCGAACCCGTTATCTCGAACTTTTCCCTCTCCATCAGGCCTGGTGAAAAGGTTGCCATCGTTGGCCGCACGGGGAGCGGAAAGTCATCGCTCGTTCTCTCTCTCTTCCGTATGGTCGAACTTTCCAGTGGTAGTATCACCATCGATTCCGTTCCACTTACCCGGGTACCTCGCCAAACCATTCGCAGTCGACTCATCGGTCTACCTCAAGACGCCTACCTACTTCCCGGTTCGGTTCGCCTCAATGCTGACCCCTTGAAAGAATCCGATGACAAAGCCATCATGGCTGCGTTGAAGGATGTACAACTATGGGATATCATTGTGGCAAAGGGTGATGCTGAGAAGTACGGGCACCCGTTAGACGTCGAAGTCGAGGACCTGCATTTCTCGCACGGACAACGTCAGCTCTTCTGCTTAGCACGTGCAATGCTCAAGAAGGACAAGTCAACCGTCGTTGTCATGGACGAAGCTACTAGCAAGTACGTTCATCAACCGCTTTCTTTCCAAAGGTCAATCGCTAACAATGAACGTTTAGTCTCGATGCTGCAAGTGACGCCCATGTCCAACGCCTCCTCCGCTCCAGATTCCCACATCACACCCTCATCACCGTCGCCCACAAGCTCGATACAATACTCGACTTCGACAAGGTCGTCGTCATGAACAAGGGTCAACTCGTTGAGTACGGTTGTCCTCACAAGCTACTAGACCGCCAGGGAAGCTGGTTTAAGAGTCTGTATGAAGATGTCGCAAGAAGAGGTTCTGAGGATGAGGACGAGGACGAGATCAACGTCATCTAGTGAAGGTCATTTGGTAGAAACGATACTGTGGTAATTGAGCGTAGCATTTTCCTTTCAAAATTATGCCCGGAGGCATGCGCAATTTTCTTAAGTCAACATAGGTAGCGAAAAGGCGTTGAGGTATAGTAGAGTCGATCATTCCCCTTCCATATCCATATTCATATTTAGTCTTATATCCAAACTAGACCATGAGGTCTTCAGCATATAGTTCAAAATTTATCTTGTCCTAAAAAGTGCAGCTCATCACACTTCACTTCTCCACAATCTCTTAAGCAGCAAGCGAAAGCTCCACGACTATCTCCCGGCCATGCTCTTTGAAGCCTTGCATCAGCCATTTCCTTATGTTGGCGAGGACAACCTCAGGCGTGCCCTGCACAATGGAAGGAGTGATCAGTTCGCTCTTGATGTAAACCAACCGAATTTGCTCCAAAGCCCTGCTATTGAAGATTTGTGCCATATCATACCGGCCGACAACCTCAGCAACTGTTCTCACCCTCCTCTCCTTGGCCTTGTCGGGTCTTGTGCGTTCCAGCTCAAGGAGCTGCCTTTCTCCCCACATCGAATCTGTGATGGCCGAAGTGTGTAGAGTGAAAGACATTTCTCTAAGTGAAGGCAAATTTGAAGCGAGAATTATAAAAGGATTAGACTTGCGATTGTCAGAAACACCAGAGAACCAATGGAAGCCGTTCATGTCGACTCTGAGAATGTTGTTGGCGATATTCGGTAGGGCTTTGAGCATGGCGCCAATGAAGAAGGTATCAGTAGTCGAGGCAACCGTAAAAGTGAGGAGGCGGATGTAGGGAACAACGGTGCCTTTCCATTCGCTCTCCCTGTCAGCGTGGAAGGTAACACCCTTGAGAAATTGAGGTTGACTAGGGTTGGCTTGAGGGGTGCCACTCTCAGCGGCGATATCGATAGTGAAAGGACCTGTGAAGGTAATATAGTCAGTGGATCGGAAGCAGCTTTGAGGATTGGAAGTGAAAAAGACATACCATCGCAGAGGATATTCCAGAGAGCAACATTGGCGCCTTCAGGTAGAGAAGGGGTCATATTTCTAGCTACAAAGGTACTTGCAGTCGCATCCTGGGGAACTACAACGAATCGTTAACATATATTGATACACATCAGACGAGGCCTAAACACACGGTTACCGCCACCCGAAACCGCACCCTGAAGGTTGTCATCGAAGTTGGATCTGGTAGAGGTAGATATGTCGGCGGAGTTCATGTCTTGAAGGGTTTGATATCGAAGGAGCTTTGGTGACAGGTATGATAGAGAGTATGTCAGGATGTGGTATTATGAACTGTAGATGAGAAGTTCAGGTCTAGTAGCATAGAATACTTTTATGTCGTTTCTGGATACTAAACCAGAAGAAACCACATTCACTTGCTTTCTGGTAACATGACAGGAGCGTTTGCTCTACGTGAAGGGGACATCGATGACCTTGCCATCACATGCGATTCGTCCAAGCGGTGCCGTCAGTATATCTCTAGAAGACAACAGAAGCTACGTGCATGCAACAAAGCTCCCTTCTTGCCGTTTGCGCTTTCATTCAAATCTGCTCAAGTGGCTTCATCAGACCTAACATGGTTACGAAAGCGGTGGGGTGATACCTGAGACTAAGTAACTACAGCAAACCCGTATACCCGCTATCCTCTGGGTCCATGCTTCATCGGGTAGTACTTGAACAACTGTAGGCACGAGTTACTCCGGCATACCACCAATGGCCTGATCTTCAGATTGATGGCAGCGGAGTAGTTGGTGCGGGGCGGAACTTGATAGGCTAAACTTGGCTGCTGACGTAACCTCTGCCGCATGAACGAGACGCTCGACACTCGGCGTTCGAAGGATCAACGCGACGGCCGGAGTAATCACGGAGTCGTTTCACGGTTGCAGCGTTGTCGCAAATGACAAGACTTGCCCTGTTCATTCTTCATATCCTCACGATGATCCCTAGCTAACGATACCTACTGACTCTTTGCAGCTTGCTTACTGCTCAGGTGAATTCCTTGTTTTAGCTGTCGCATCGCTCAGGCACATTGGCACAAGTGTCAGCCGTACACCCGCCCTTGGTCGCAAATCTTGCGGTACACGCACATGCCATTGCAATGGCGTTGCCCTCAGACCTGCCGCGAGCATCAATCGAAGAGAACGACGCGCTCTTGTCCCCAGCGGAATCGGCCCACCATGCGCTGCCCCAAGCGACCAAGAAGCCATGGGTGCTTCTCGTCGTCCTCATCTTCGTCATGATCGCCTTCATCGACGTAGGTGCCTACCTCGCCGAAGCGCCCATGACGCGTCTCTACGAAGCGAACCTCTGCCTCAAATACTACCACGAACAAGACCCCTCAGTGATACCTAGCGATGGAAGCATACCGGAGCAGCTATGCAAGGTGAATGTAGTGCAGCAGCAATTAGCGAGCATCTTCGGCTGGCAGGAGATGTTCAGCGCGCTGCCGGGCATTCTTCTAGCGGTGCCATACGGTACTTGGGCCGACAAGGTGGGTAGAAAGTGGATATTCATAGCGAGCTTGGTCGGAATAGAGCTCGGCTTTGTCTGGGTGCTGTTGATATGTAAGAAGGCGGACAACAAGATTGAGGTCCCGCGCTAACACCGTCAGGTTACTTCAAGTCTCTCCCTCTACAGTTGACATGGCTCTCGAGCGCCTTCACCATCATCGGCGGCGGTCCAATTGTGGCCATGGCTATCGGCATTACTATGATCTCTGACATAGCGCCCCCAGAACAGCGTACCACAATCTTTCTGTATCTCACAGCCTGCGTTCTTGTCGCGGAGATGTTGGCACCCATAATGGCAGCGAGACTTATGGAAAGTGGAAACTGGCTGCCTCTATTGCTGTCGTTAGCCATACAAATTGTGGGTGTCGTCGTGGCCTTGTTCATTCCGGAGACGCTGCATCTCCGTGACCTGCCCGAGCCCAAGGATAGCGACGACCAGATTTTTGAGCTACACCCCAAGACCAGCGACTTTTCAGTGCGAGCACAATTGCGCAACTTCCAGGCTGCAGTACATTTCCTCAAGAGCGATTGGACCTTGGCCATGGTCGTCTTCACTTTTTTGGCCAACAGACTGGGCAGACAGTGTATTTCACTTCTGGTTCGCTACGCTTCGAAACGTTACAGCTGGGAGATCAAGAAAGCCGCCTACTTGCTGTCATTCCGTGCCGCTACCAACCTTGTGGCTGTCACCGTCTTGATTCCACTAGTCAATTTTCTTCTTTTAAGGAAGCTGCATTTCCCTGCACACTGGGCGGACCTGTGGATTGCACGGGTATCTATAGTCCTTACCACCGTCGCCTTCTTCGTCATGGGTATCGCGGCGCACCCTTCTCTCCTCATCGTCGGGCTCCTTCTTTACAACATGGGTACAGGATATAACGCTGCTATGCGATCCGTGGCCATACATGTCGTTGGCAGTCAGTCGAGCCCAGATATCGGCAAACTCATGAGCACCATTGCGATGGCTGAGAGCATTGGCGCAATGGTCGCTGGGCCACTGTTAAACGAGCTGTTTCAACTGGGCATAGGTGTTGGCGGTGCCTGGTTGGGTTTGCCATTCTTGAGTTCTGTCGTAGTGTTCGCATTCATGACTGTTGTGACTTGGATCATCGATGTGGAAGACAAGGAGCCCGCTTACTTACAAGTACACACTGAGGACGAGGAAGAGAGACAAACTAGTGCACTCGAAGGTGAAGAGCTTACCAGACACAGGGACGTGTTTTAGATTTTATGCTCTAGATTGAAGATACCCCACAATTGGACAGATCAACTTTTCATTCTCAACAATATGCGCAAGAAGGCACTTTCGAGACATGCAGACAAAACACGCAGGTGTTGACTGGGGATAGCAGCCACACCTCGTGGTGGCAGTCGCAGTGCTCTACGCGCCTGCTGCACAACCTGAAAGAAGTAGCGACGTGGGACTTCACATTCCAAGACATGACCATTCTCGAGGTGCGCTTTCCTGCTTAGCATGGTATACACCCTATCATTCTCCTTCCCACACATCCAGACCACATCTGTCATACCATACTGTTGGCTGTGCCTCATTACCGCTGTTTCTGCTACATGCCGTCAACACGTCTTTAGCACTACTTCGCTACGTTGGCTGCACGCTCTTACCGCTCTACTCCACCAGACCATAGTTTTATCCTGCAATTGTGATGCTGGCTCGCGCGAATAGCGATGCAGGTGTCCGTCTCCGCCGATCCAAGTCTGCGTCTACCGTTCACAAGCGTCCCACTTCCATCACCGAATCACCGGATCTGGATACGATCAGAGAGCAAGCTCTAGCTGCGGCCACAGCTGCCTTTGCTCGAGCGCAGGCCCAAGATGCGGCGGAGCGCACCACAAAACGTAGCTCTGAGGTGGCAAGGTCCAAGAGCAATGCCAGCCGCAAGTCTCTCACTTCCCAGGGCAGCCACTTTCCACCGCGCGATTCGAGCTTCAGATCTCTGCAGCGCCCGAACGCTGAGCAGACTAGAAGCACCCACCGCTTGTCCCAGTCCTCGACAGAGAACACAAACCAGAACACAGAGCAATTTCCGCCCTTCTATCCTGCTCCCAGCGTCCATGGATCACTTTCCGTGCCGCGATATCTATCAACACAGTCTTCTATCACATTCAGTGAAAACGCCAGACCCAATTCCCAACCAAAGTCGTTTCGACAGAATACTTCGACTTCAATTACCTCACAACAAATACGCAAGGCACGCTCTATGTACTACGCAAGTAGTGTCCAAACTGGATCTCCGATCGCTCGACCACCCTCCAAATACCTTACAACACCGCCTCTAGTTAGTGCCAGTCCAGTGTCAGAAACCTCGTCTCTTCCTTTATCGTCCCGAACACTTCGGCCGTCACCACTTGCAGGCCCCCGCGTGCCTGTCACAGTCAAGCCTGACATGACGCTTGACATGGCACGAGATGAATATCTGCAAGGTTTCCAACAGAAGGCAGTGAAACACAAGCCGTCCATGTTTCTTCCGTCATTAAAGAAGAGACAGGATAGAGGAAAAGACAAAGGCAAGCGTGTCGCATCGGAATCCTCTTCCTTTCCGATAAGTAAACAGCACACACCCGACGAGTCGACGACTGACCTTGCTTTGAACGAAATGATATCATCCCATGAGATAAAAGAGAAGCGATCATTCTCCGGTTCTCTCAAAAGCAAGATCAAGAAAGTATTTCGGCGTGCATCGGGCAGATCAGCCAACCTTCCTGTTCAGCAGATTGATGCCAGTCGCGACTACTTTCATACTGCACACTATAACCCACCGTCCGCCAAAGATGCACTGGGCATACCCCCTCCCAATGAAGAAACCTTACACCGCATTCGTGCCCGAACGCCGTCACTCGAGGGAACTTACCCAGTCTATCTCCGATCTGGGTCTCGAAGCAATAGCACTGGAAGCAATCGCAGTCTCCATAGCGAAGCCAATGCTACAAACATATCAGCCTCTCGAGTCACAAGCTGGGGAACATCCACTACAAGCGATACGCTGACTCAACGAGCCCTGAAGCGCATGACTGTTATACACGAATCCAAGGATAGCATTGGAAGCGAGGGAGATCACAACGCTTCTGCATCTACCTCTAGACGGAAGTCGCTGCCTCTGCCACCTCTCTCCGCTTTTCGTGACCCAATGCCCATGGAGATCCTCACCGAAGAGTCACCAACGCCCGTCGATCCCAAACGCGTCTTTTCTGCGCTCATGAAAGAGATTGGGTCGTCAAAACAACAGTCGTCCTCAAGCCCTACTCAACGAACACCTGGAGCGGAGAGCGACGTATTCGAATCCAGCACGACGAAGCTATTTTCTCACCCACGAGACTTGCATTCAGGCGGCAACCGCAATCTTCGAAGCAGTATTGTATTGGACCAGAGACCACCATCACGAAGACCTACCACGTCCCAAAGTGCGCAGAGCAAGACCAGCACAATCAGGTCTTTCGGCAGGGTGATCAGGTCAACCATTCGCACCGTCACACCCATCGGACAGCACTCGTCGCCCGCTCCAGACGCCACAAGTCGCATGTATGGCTCGGAAGGAGAGCAGCAACGAGATGATGGGTTGCTTCCGTCAAACATTGCGCCAGAATCAGACGATAGCCAGAACGATAGTGATAGTGCTGAGCGCAATTGTGCTGTTCAAGTGTTTACGCCATCGACCTTGCAGATTGAGAAGCGCGTAGAAAAGGCGAAAGAACGATGGAAAACACCACTCGAAGAAGCCGAGCGCCTCCAATTCCCGCGTGAAACAGGTAGAACTTACGATATCACAACTTTTGCTCAGCAGACCCAAGGAGCAGCAAAAGTTATCATTGAACATGACATGAAAGTAGCATCGGTACCTAGGTCTGTTGATCACAACACACATAGACTTCCCGTATCTCCGAAAGCTTCCGCGTCACCAGCATCTCGTGTTGCGGCGACGCCAATGTCCCCCAGCATATATTCACGGGATACGGATGGTATCAGCATTCTCCCGAACGATAGCATCATGTCTTTTGGAGGGCATAGTGAGTTTGATCGATCTCACGATGGTGGCTCAGCAGTTGTTTCCACTAGCCAGTCAGTCAGAAGCTACGTAGTGGGCACACCCTCCCCTCAACGTCGGGGATCGACGCGTACAAGTCGGGATTGGAGGGCCTGGCTGTCGCATGAGATCTCAGGCATGGAGCTCACCAGTCAAGATGATTTGAGGATTCACGATCAATACACAACACCATCTAAGAAGACAGGACCCGATCCGATCCGCACAACTCAGACAGAGCACGAGGATACGACGGTCGTTCTTCGAGGATCTCTTGATGTAATAACACCGCGACCAGGGGCCCATGATTCAACAAAGGCAAATGACTCGCATGTTCCTCGTCACTTGGACAGTTTAGAATCCAAGTATGGTGAGAAGCGCGGCGTAAAAGCAGCCGATCTGATCGCTGAGAGATCATCGTCATCCTTGGAGATTGATGACAAGAATACTTGCAGCTATCCTACAACAGACACCAGTGACACGGCAAAGGACCATCAACCATATCAGATCAAATCAACGTCGCTTTCCAGCACGGAGCGTCCGCTTGCAAAACCGAGAACCCTGGAGTCTACTCCACGCTCTTTGCTTGAGACACCTAGATCGCCTTCATTGAACGACCGATTCCCATATCTTGATACTGGCCGACGCTCGAGCAGCAACAGCTTGTCTTCTCAACATTCTAAATCACCTACCATTATGCACGTTCCAACGAAGTCTCAACCCTCGCCTAAGCTGACACCTGCTACCAAAGTCATCACTGATGCGTCCATCCCAGCCACAAATGAGACCTCAGAGTGTGTGTCAGACACTGCACTGAGAAAGAATGATGCGCAGTCTAGAAGGAAAGAGAACGTTACCCCTCCCTCGATACGCAGTCAAAAGAAGTCTATCGTGTCAACTTCGGGATTTTCGACGCGACCAAACTCGCAACATCTGCTTTGCCCGTCAACCACCCCACGTGTTTCACCTAGCATCAGTCAACACCACACACCAGAGGGGAACGAAAACAAGCAAAAACCCAGCCCAGCAGGGACTCCTTTACGTCCCCGCATTCGCGCAACCCTCCGCCCGATGTCTCCGGAGAAACTCGCTCGCCGGCCCCGTAGTGCATTCGACCTCCGTGGTGCCAACAATATTGGCCGACCCACTGTCATCGATCTGGATAATGTCTCCTCACTTCCCGGTTCAGACCTACGGCGCCCTGGACTACATGTCAAGACCTCGTCAAGCTCTCTGGCCATGAGCAAGGAACCTATTCCCGATACCATTTCTGTAGGCAGAACTATCAACACTGTACTCAATGGTGAGCGGAGTGAGAGCGTTACCCCTGGTCAACGGATGGCAGATCGGTTCTTGAAGCAGAGGAAGAGTACGCCGGCGTTGGAAGGTAGTGCAGGTAAGCTGAGAGGTGGGCTACTTTTGGTTAGGGAAGATACACCAGCTTTTCTGTGACATGTTCAACAACTAGCAAGGAATTATGTCAGTATGTGCACAAGAGATGAGGTTGGGTAACAGAGAGTTTAGCGAGCATCTTTGGGTACTGGAACATATGGATTTGGCTCTTTCTCGAATTGGATAGCAGAGCTTCTGAGTGTAGCTTCAGGGCAGCGGGCTGGTAAGGGAGTTGCCTACTTCTCATGGTATATGGTTGGCATCTGTAGTACGGTAGTATCAATGTGAGATTGTATCATTACTCATGCACGTGTCAGGATACATGAGCTGGTTACGAAGACTTAATGCAGTGCACTACAAGCGTATGGTAGCAGGGTATATTACTTGAAATTAAGCATAAGCTGTTGTTGAATAGCGCTCTATGGTTGTATCCTCTTCCTCAAAGCATCTCGCCCTCTTCGTCCAATCCTCCCTCATCCTCCTCATCCCATTCTACATCTGCCGCTGCCTCATCAGCTCGTCTTTGCACCTCCTTTAAGCCACTCATCTCCTCGACCCACCCTTTTTCGTTCAACGCCCTAGAGACGAACTCCCAGGGATTTGCGTTGTAAGCCTCGAGCACCCTGTCACTGCACGCTGAGCAGCAATCATAGGGCTTCCCTTCTACTTGTATATTCGAGAAGGTCGAGAGGTAGCCTCGTATTGTGTGGGGTATGGTGCCAAGAGGATGTTGGAAGGGTGGTGGTAGTGCGGGATGAGATGGTGTGGGGGTGGGGGAAGACTTTGAGTTTTGCTGCGAGGGAGGTGGTGCACATGCTTTTGAGGGGTGTTGGAGGATAGACATGAGGAGTTCGACGAGCAGGCTGGATGCGAGGGGCGCTACGCCAGGGCGGGTTACGGTACATTGTTGGTCGAGGGTGGCGTTGCTTAGGGACTGTTTGATTAGGTTAGCTGTGTATCGCTCAGACTGATGTGTAGTTACTTGCATCTGCGGGTGCAACAACGTCGTTGCAGAAGTAGCATCCTAGCTCCACCTCTCCCTCTTGCGTCGCCTTTAGGCCATGTCGCATGACGACGTAAGTGTCGAAGCCTAGCGCGGCATTGAGAACGATCTTTCCGTAGGCCTTGCCCATGAGACTTGGTAGCCATCTACTTTCTCGTGTATCCATAAGCAGGAAAATGGCGTCATGCTCACTGATCAACCTCTGCAGCTTCTCGAACTCGATCTTCGTCTTGGCGCTGTCAGTCATCGGGTGACCCAGCATGGGTACTTCCATGACGTGCCCGGTCGCATCGACGCCTGGGTAGATTTCTTGCAAAGCCGCTGCCGCTCTTTCGGCTTTCTTCGCACCGCCTTTCAGGCAATCATCGAAGTTGAAGAGAGGCTGCCGTACAGGATTCGAGAAGCTAACTGTGGCGTTGTCAATGAACGTAATCTTCCTCACACCCCATCCCATCAGCGTTCTTGACACGTATGTGCCTAGTGTTCCCGCTCCGAGCAGTAGACACTTGCAATTCTTGATGACATCCAGATCGATGGTGGGAGCTATGCGCCACTTGATCAGCTTTAGGTTGAGATCGACAGCTTGGTCAGCGAGTTTGCGCTCGTCCATATATTCGGACAGGTCTACGTTCCGTGATGTCAACTTGCCGGCTTCTGTCCGTTCCCAGCCCGTCACTTTGGGTAGCTTTGGCGTCCGTGGGCGACTTTCTGATGCTTCCGAGGTGGGTGCCGCATCGGGAGTGGGGTCTGCACGTAGTTGTAGGATGAGAGAATTGGGCTGGTCGCGCCGTGTATGGGTGTCGCGATAACACATGATCTGAGCATCATTCAGATGCCATCGATGCCGCATCAAGACGAGGAGATTGCGGAGAGGCCATCCAGGGTTGGATTCGTAGGTAGAGGGGTCTGCAAAACAGATGAAGCGATCGCGACTATCGACTTTGTCGAAGAAGCCCTTTTCATAGGCCTCGAGTCTACCTATGGCCCAGATATATCCAAACTCTTCGAGTGGCGAGACTGGTGTTTTTGGCCTCTCCTCTGGGTCACCCCCTCCTTGTATGCGTTTTGCTAGGAAGAAGCCTCTTTGGCGGACATCAGAGCTGTAGCGCCACGTCTGTACCGCATCCACCAGGTATGTAGTCTCTCTGGCCTGCAGTCTCGTAGCCTCTCCTATTTGTTTCCACGGTGGGTCGGATTGTATGGCAGGGAAGCCAAAGTGATAGGTAAACTTGTATTTCTTGAGGTTGGCAAATATGATGGCTGTGAAGGAGGAGAGAAGAGAGGGGCATTCGTATATGGAGCCGTCGTGTATGGCGTCCCATATCGTTTGGGCGCATCGTTCGAGTATGGCGGCGCGATCGAGGTTCTTGTAGTCTTCTATGGTGTTGCAGTTCTTGATGATGCCTTCGGCGCGACAGAAAGTCGGAGGGGTGCTGAAACTGTCAGAGGGGCGGGGATGGAGTCAAGCGTCAAGACATACTCGTCTGAAGTCAGGGCGTTGGGGTGTATCTGCACGCGCATAGATCGCGACGAATGCTCTCCAGGACGAACTTCATACAAGCCGAGCACCTTACGCGCGGAATCGTCGAGTCTGTCATGGTTGATCTTGATGTGTGCTAGGGCGGCATAGAACTGGACGTCGACATCACTCAACCAAGGCGCAAACTTGAGGGTGGACATGTTGGGAGGTGGAGTGGATGGTGGGGTATGGACAAGGCTGTGAGATGCGTGGCGATGCAAGGTATATGATGGCCTAGGATGCGACGGCAACAGCAGTCATAAGAGCAGAGGGCGAGACAGGTGAGGCGGTCAAGGGCGCATGCATGTGACAGTGAGCGTCCAAGTGATGGCGAAGGCAACGGCACGCTTCACGCTTCACCCCGCTGCCGCCATGATCAATGTCATGGGTCTAGGCGGGGCCGCGCTAGAAGGCGTTCCTGCAGCCGCACGCGCTTAGCCGCTGTCAGTAACAGCGAGCTTCGATCCCGTCCACCGACTCGCTCCACAACTATCACCGCACCTGGCCGGCCCGTGATCGCCATGCTTCTTGGATTGTGCGGAGGCAAGCACCGTCAGATGTGGTTTGAGAAGATGCTGACAGAGCACAGGAATATGCGCGGGCAAGTCGTCGATAGCTTCCTATCTCGTTGAGGAGCACCACTTCACCCGCCTGCGCCTGGTGCGAACGGCTGCCACGCCTCCAGAGGAGAAGTCGGCCTCGAATACTCGCGTCCCCTCCCCAGCAAAGTCGCCCGCTGCGTCAGGGCGCACATTCCCAGACGTCGATGCGCTGCTCGAGTTCGTCACGCTGAGATGGAGAGAGCGATTCGTCCTGACGGATATATGGGACGAAACCGTGGTTGATGCCCTTATGAGGCGCCCCTTCTTCCTCCTCGTCAGCGTAGATGCGCCCGTCAGTGTGCGATGGCAGCGATTCAAGGCCCGCTGTGCTGCCACTCAGCACACACCGCCAACCCTCGAGGACTTCGTTCTACGCAACGACCAGCACTTGTTCGCTCCCAAGACTGGTCTCAGCGCGCTGTGCCAGCGAGCACAGTTGAAGCTACTCAACTCCTCATCCGACATAGGCGTCCTACGCAACGCTATCCTGCACCTGGACCTCATGGACGAAGCACGTGTGCGGCCGAGCTGGGACCAATACTTCATGCAGCTGGCCGATCTGGCAGCACGTAGGAGCAACTGCATGAAGCGACGGGTGGGATGTTGTATAGTCAGGGAAAAACGTGTCATTAGCACCGGGTACAACGGTACACCACGCGGCATGACCAACTGCAACGAGGGCGGATGTACGTACCTTTACATATTGCGAGCCAGAAAACACCCCACTGACAACACACAGGTCCCCGCTGCAACAATGCCGCCCAAGGAGGTGTCGGTCTCTCCACCTGTCTCTGCCTGCACGCCGAAGAAAATGCTCTGCTCGAAGCTGGCCGTGATCGCATCGGCGAGAACGCCATCTTATACTGCAACACCTGCCCTTGCCTGACCTGCAGTGTCAAGATAACACAAGTCGGTATTAGCGAGGTAGTCTACAACCAAGGCTATCTTGTAGACGACCAGACAGCTAGGATATTTGCTGAAAGCGGTGTCAAGTTGCGTCAGTTCTCCCCGCCTGCGGACGGCCTTGTAGATCTGAGCATCCATATGGGCGGAGAGAAGCAAAAAGAAGACAAGGTCGAGGATGCCAGGGAGTTACTCGATGACATGAACTTCCTGAGGCCCTTGAGCTAGGCCATGCACCCAGTGATGAGCATTTAGAAGACGCGACAATAAATGAGACCACCAGTGTGCAAACATACCTTGCCTAGTATTTGCTATTGGGAGTGACACGTGACTTGCGTCATGCTCAATCGGATGTTATACGACTGTAAGTAACGCGTGGCGACGCCTCCACGCGAGCGCCTCTCACGAGATGCGGCCGCCTGCCACAGTTCACAAGGTACACATTCTGGACTTGGAAACCTCTACTTCCTTGTCTACTGCTGTATTGTGACGTGCCATTGAAGAACCCCTAAGTTGTGGTGCATGTTGGTGTTGAGAGGGCAAAGACCGAGGGACTGCTACAGAGAGGCTGGTTGCGATGCAGCCTCACCTCCACAATCGATGGCGCACGCGACCGTAAGCAAGGTTTCGGCTGTCCCCGCGTGGCGCTTCATATTCCAACAACTTCAAAAAGCGCTCAAGAACAGTGAATAAACTTCTCAGTCGGCCCTTGGTGTTTGACCTTGATTCTTGTAGCTTACTTTTCATTTCCCAGCCTGAACAGGATCGTCATGCGTCGGCCCGCCCTGGTCACGCTTATGTTGGGCCTGATGACGCGCGGTACCATGCAAATACAACAACCATGACAGTTGAGCGCCACAAGATAGCTCCTCAAGGCCCTTAGTAAACGGCTTTACGAACACACTCGAGCAGAATATTGCGTGCTATCGCATACACCTACAGTAGCCGGGCTCGCATTGCTATCGCACACCAGCCCGCAAGCTTGACCAAGCCTCGACAAGCATCCGCTACCGAGGCTTACATTTGAACTGGTCTGGGCACATAGGATGCACTAAACACAGCCGCGTCGAATCACAACCCAGCTACATGCAAGAATCTCGGCCTAATCTTCGTATACAAGCGCTTCAGGAAGGTGCGTAAGGTTGTGCCTCTGTTTCTACTGCGTCATCTCGCATCGTTCGCCATTCGGCTACGAATCTCACCCCGATAGCACAGCCTGCACGACCCAGAATGTGGCGTTTGCGAGGTTTATTACCGAGCCTTGCTGGTACTCCGTCAACCTCCTGCTCTTCCGGGGTAAGCGCAAGGCCTGTATACAGAAATGCCGTCACATAGCAAGCGTTCAAATAGAGCTCTTGGACCCGGTGCTTCCGTAGCAGCTCACAGCCGCATTCATCTGTCAATTCCAAGATGAAGCTCCTTACAGTATTCGGCTCTTTGCTGTGTGCTTCCACAGCTCTGGCTGGAAGCTCACCACACAAGCGTGGTGTCTTCGACAAGGTCAGACCTGCTGTTGAGAGGCGTATGCCTGGAGAGTCTTTCAAGCACCCTGAGATTCAGAGGCGTGCTGAAAGCTTCTTCTTGACTAACAAGACCGAGTGTAAGTATCTATCCAATATACTACAAGAGCTCGACTGATCAATTGGTAGCCTTTGCCGTCAACGGTACTGGAATTCCAGAGGTTCCTTTCGACGTTGGCGAGAGCTACGCTGGTCTGCTGCCCATCTCGGACGACCCGAATGAGACGCGAAAGCTCTTCTTCTGGTTCTTCCCTTCCACCCAAGCCCAAACCCCAGAGGAAGTTGTTATCTGGCTCAATGGCGGCCCTGGTTGCTCTTCGCTCAGCGGTTTCCTCACCGAGAACGGGCCCTTTACATGGGAGTCGGGTACATTGGCGCCCGTCCAGAACCCCTACTCATGGACCAACCTGACCAATATGCTCTGGGTTGAACAGCCCGTGGGTGTTGGCTACTCGCAAGGTACGCCCAACATTACCAACGAAGTTGAGCTCGGCAACCAGTTCCGTGGTTTCTACAAGAGCTTCGTTGACCTGTTTGGGCTCTACAACTGGAAGACATACATTACTGGAGAGTCTTACGCCGGTTACTATGTTCCTTACATTGCTGACAGCTTCATCAATGCCAAGGACGACAAGTACTGGAACCTTGCTGGTATTTCCATCAACGACCCTATCATTGGTGATGAGACCATCCAGCAGCAAGTTGTCCTTCTCCCATTCGTCAACTTCTGGCAGAACTTGCTGTTCCTGAACGACACATTCATGGAGCAGATCACTCAGCACCACAAGGAGTGTGGCTACACCGACTACATGGACAAGTACTTCACGTTCCCCCCACCGGAGGGTGCCTTCCCTGTTCTTCCGGACCCATACAGCTCGGAGAACTACACCTGCGATCAGTTTGACAACTTCTACTCGGCCATTCTCGAGGTCAACCCTTGCTTCAACATCTACCACATCACCGAGACTTGCCCTCACCCGTACTCGCAGCTCGGCATAGTCAACACCGGAGACTACTCTCCTCCAGGTGCTGAGATCTACTTCAACCGCACCGACGTCAAGCTTGCGCTCCACGCCAACGTCAGCACCGAATGGCTCCAGTGCACAAACACCAACGTCTTTGGTGACGGTGACGACAGGGGTTCTGACCAATCCCCTGGACCTGCGAACAATGGTGTTCTCCAGCACGTTATCGAGTACACTAACAACACCATCATCGGCTCTGGTGACCTTGACATGCTCCTCAGCACCAACGGAACTCTGTTTGCCATCCAGAACATGACCTGGAACGGCGCCCAGGGTCTCTCCGAGTACCCAGCTACTCCTCTGTACGTACCCTACCACCCAGAGTACAACGGCGGTGCGCTTGCTGGCGCCGGTATCCAGGGATACTGGACCGCGGAGCGTGGCATGACCTTCTACACTGCCCGTCTTGCCGGTCACGAGCTGCCCGGTTACACTCCTGGTGTTGCTTACCGCATGTTGGAGATCCTCCTCGGAAAGGTCAAGGACTTTAGCAGCACTGAGAACTTTGTTACTCAGACCGGTAACTTTACTGGTACAGGTACTATCTACAGGCGTGGCATCTAAATCGGCAGCATGTCTTTTTAGATATATGTTGTTGACTAATGACGATACGAGAACTATGTAGATGGAAATTATGATATTCTGTTAGCATTGAATTACCATGTGTCATTACCTTTTCCATATGACGAGATCAGAGCTTTCCTGTGGTAATAGAATATAATCAAATCGAATGAAGCTCGTCATACACCCCATGGCCAATGAGTTGATATATGGCGAATGATGTCGATTTTCTGACGTTTGTAGTCTATGGCGTTTTCGAGGCTCCGCAAGCACCCCTGAGTCAGGTCCATTGCCCGTTGCCTACTCGACGCCCCACTCACAGAATTTTCACCATCCAGCTGACATCGAGAACACGAAATGCGATGGCACTTTGCAGGGCAGCGTTTGTAACGCAAAATGAGGTTATATTGTATCCAATTCCTGATTCTTCCACCAATCAACTACTCAACCTTCTGGTTGGTCAATCTTCAGTAGTATAGTGGTCAGTATTTCCGCTTGTCACCATCACAGGCAACTCGCGGGAGACCGGGGTTCAATTCCCCGCTGGAGAGAATACTTTCTTTTTGCTGTTTTTGCATCGCATTGCATTGCTGCAGGTGGTCGTGGTCGTGGTCGAGGCGTGGGCGGTACTCTGTCGCGTGGAACACGTTTTTGGCGTGCCGTGTCTTGTTTTCTTTTGGCTGTGTGACAGTAAAAGAAGAAACACGTACGGAATGCATGCATCCTGCGGGCCGTATCTTGCATGTACTACTTTGCGTGAGGGTGTCTGGCTAGGCGAATGCAAAGTATTCGTGTCCCGGCACCCTTCAAGCGCATTATGCAAGGTGGAAGATGCAGGATATCAGAAGCAAGTGTTCCGGTATTTTTCTGGTATTGACCAGGCCCGTCGTCTAGTCTAGATCCAAGTACCAGGTTTTCCAGGTCGACGGTCCGCGGGTGCATCCCAAGATCCATTGATGTGCGAACTGCAGATGCGGGTCACGCGGTGTCGCGATCGCGCATGAAGCACCCTGCTTAGCCGCGTGCACATCGCGTCCTCAACCACCAGCTCTGTATGCTTTGTCCACTGCAACCTTCACAAACTTGTCACCGCCGCTTCGTTGGAGACACGCTTACGCATAGGCACGGAGATGCCGATGTTCATGCAGCGAGACCGGATATGCGCAAGAACCTTCGACCACCACTACGTCACCCAGTACCACCGACCCTTCCCATCTGCTAAGCGCAGGCATGAATCGATGTTGTTGAGCTTCCAACCTGAAGCGAACACAGAGGACGGGTTCAATCTACTACTCCCAAAACCTATACCTGCGTCTGCAACCACCAGCAGGGAAATATTGGTACGCTTTACGGACACCTTCCCCTCTCCACACGTAGTTGTCCCTCCACCTCCTTCTGGATATGCATATAGGCGCACGACAAATACATGTATGCGTAGTACTTACCAAAAACAACATACTGGGTAGGTGTCTTGACTACGCGCCAACCACCGTAAGCAGCAACTCAAAGATAAAAAGCGAAGGTAGAGACGAAATTTTGATGCCTCCGTAAACAAACACTCACACAGCTCTCCATCTGCCACAGTCTCTCTTCACGTAAAGATTCATTTCTCTAGCTCACTTGTTTGACTTGGTGCGTCTTTCGCAGACTCTCATCTAACCAATAACAAAACTTGTCGAACTTCGAGATGACAAGACGAACCAAACCTTTCTAGTCCGTCACTCTTATCATTGCATCTGCCCAGGCTAGCCAAGCGAAAGCGGCAATCACGTACGGCGCGGGATGCAAAGCTAGGCGGAACACAAGAAGTTCTCGACAGCACCCTATCGGGATGATTATATCTGTTTGATGCTACAAGTTTCTTCTCTGGGCTCGCTGAGGCCTTGACATTTCTGCTACAGGTACAAGTCTATAAAGACACCCCAGACTTGAAGCAGACCCTCCTCTACGTTGCAATGATCCGATTCGCCGGCCCCGGGTGTGACTATAAGCTCCGTATCCGATCTACTAGGACTTGAACGTGTCTATGCCTATGAGTCTGTACAGCGCGTGTCTTCGGACGAACTCCCCGCTGTTCCGCGGTGACCACGGTTCATCGGACGAAACACTCCTTATATCCCGACTGCTCGCTGCTTCGAGTGACCGAACTCTTTCCTACGTCGAGACGATTTGGTCCACTGAGCAACCGAAAGTCATGGCTCCTTCTGGCAGCACCAACGCAACGTCTTCGATCACAATGTTTATAAACGTTCATTAATCTCAGAAGTCCACTTGTGCTTTGCTTTCTTCGTACTTCGGTCACTACAGCTACAATTAAGGATTTCTAGGGTCGTGCAGAATGAGCCTCAAAGTCGTCATCGTTGGTGGGAGCTTTTCCGGCCTAAGTCTTGCGAACATGCTGGAAAGATTCGACATTGACTTTGTCCTTTTGGAAGGGCATTCTAGCATTGGACCTCAGCTCGGCGCAAGCGTCGGACTACTTCCCACTGGTTTGCGCATCCTGGACCAGCTTGGCTGTTACGACGAAATTGAGAAGACGGTCGGAAATGCACATTACAAAGCGTGTATGACTCTCTTTGGTGGAAGATCGTGGGTAGATCCGGAGGAGAAGACCGTTTGCCAAAAGCTAGAGGAGAGGTGAGTGTCTAAGAGAGCGATCTGCTTGTTCAAGGAAGTTCTAACAAGTCTGTTTAGAATCGGGTACCCACAAGTATTCATCGATCGTCAAGACGCACTCCAGATCCTGTTCAACAATCTCAAATCTAAGGAGCGCGTTCTCACGAATAAGCGTGTCTGTAGAGTTGAGCACGAAGCGAGCGGCGTCAAAGTCTTCACCAAGGATGGGTCAACGTATACAGGTGACTTTGTTGTCGGAGCAGATGGCGTTCATAGTGCTGTCAGACAAGAAATGTGGAGGATTGCAGATGAGGACGGGTTAGATGTTTTCAAATCTGACCCAGTTCGAGGTTAGCATTCACTGAGCTGCTGCACGTACACGGTTGACACTTTTACAGACCTTCAATGCGAATCCATGTGCATCTTTGGCATCTCCAAAAGGCCTTCTGGCCTTACGGCGTCGCCTTTGCGACTCAATGCATTCTTCAAAGACTGCAACTATCTGGTCATATCCGCTCCCGAAGACCGTACCTACTGGTTTTTGATAACCGAGACGCCGAAGGCATTCGGAAAAGACATCCCAAGGTATACAAAAGAAGATGAACAGGCGCTGGTAGAGCGGCATCTCCAGGATCGTATTACAGACAAGGTCACGTTTGAGGACCTGTATGCGAATCGATTGCAAACGACGCTTGTAAGCGTTGAAGATAATGCGTTCACCCGTTGGCACTACCGGAGGATTATCACGACAGGCGACGCTGCGCACAAGGTAAATCAAGTTGAGAGTAGCTTGACACGAAACGTACTGATATTAGTCGCAACAGGTACACCCTCTCAGCGCACAAGGTGCCAACACTGCTATCGAAACGGCTGCCGTGCTAACGAACACTCTTCTTACGGCAGTACAAGCCAAGGAACCCGAAAAGTCATTTACGGAAGACGACATCGTCTCGATCTTTACAGAAGTTCAGGCCGCTCAATTTAATCGAGCCGTCGCCGCCGTCAATCAAGGCCGTATGATGAACTCGATAACAGTCAAGGAAACCTTGCGATCACGCATGTTTATCAACTACTTCTTTCCTCGCTTCGGACAGGGCATGATATTCAAAACATGGGTCAAAAGTACTATCAATGGCCCCCTCATCAACAATCTTCCCGTTCCAGCACGATATGTATCTGCAGTCGGTCGCTACGCAAATGCCTGCTCCGGGCGATGGCGCTTCTTGTGGAGCTTGATACCGATAGGCGTCGGGATGGTCGCTGTTCTACTCTCAACAGTGAGAGCTCGGAAACTCCAATAGACCTTATCTATTGAGTTTTTCGCACAAGCTGCTGGCGTCTTATCTTTACTGGGGTCGTGTCGGATACCCGTTTCGGTCATTACTTTCTAGGAAGTCGTCATTGTGTGTTGTAGTTTCGGTCGTTACTTCTGGAGGATTTATCAATGCATTCAATGGTTCTTGGAGTAAACCGTGTTCATTAGCGATATTGCTCTGGTGTCATTGTATTTGTTGTTCGCTCAGCTAAGCGGAAACCTTGGTGGCGTTTAGAAAACTATGAGAGACATGTACTACACATGCATGCAACAGCATTCCTCAAAACGTAGAGCGAGGATCCGAATCAAGCATAGACGAGCCATGAGAAGAGGATTCAAGATTTAAGGTGAAAGAACACGTTGTACACACATCCTAGTTCCTCTCTGTTTTTGAGGTAGTATGGAAGACGAATCTCAAAACATATGACGAGAGAGTAGGGCGGTAGGACTCCGTGCAATCATGGTTTCCAAAAGTGGTGGTAGTGATCATCATGATATAAATCTACATATGTACCTTACGACCATGTATCTCAGTCGTCTTCCTTCTGCTATCTACGTATACAAGCCCATGGGGCATTATCTGCTCATGTATGTAACAGTATTCATTAACGTCCGATGCGGGTCGTTACGACATTCACAGGCCGAAATCCACCGCTAGTCGGCCGCGCAAGCGCTCGATATACAGCCAGCGCCCAAGAAGAATCCGCCAACATCGAAACCAACACCGTCCACTATGCAAAACGACATTCAAGAAGCTAAACAAGACACTGGTTATGCCACAGCACCTACTAATTGAGAACAGAAGAGAAGATGGGAAAGTTCTCATCCTACGCCCTATAAGAAAGTGTTCCCGTTTCCAGAACCTTTCTCGAATTCTTTGGGATCTCTCGGGCTTAGCTCTGACATGTCCGTATCAACCCTGCGTATCGGTGGTGGCATGACGTGCGGCCGCTCAGGTGAGTATCCTGGACTTGAACTTCTGGGCATATCCCAGTCATCTGAATAACCTGGTGGTCCAACCAACTCATCACTTCCACGGCTGGCGATGGGAAGGAGATTTGTTGAGTCGCCCTTGACAAGCCCCAGTCTTTCTTCTTCAGTGGCGGTAGCCGCTGCTTTGCCTTCTTTGCTACTCTTCCGACTATGCCTACTAGCCGGTCGTCTGCTACTGGACGATTCGCCTGTTGAATCAGGACGATTCCGGGAGAAGACGTTCTGGAAAGAGAATTGTCGTTTGGCCATATGGGGAGGTGGTCTTGGGGGAGCGAGTGAATCGCTGGAGTCTTGACGATCATGGCCATGGCGGGGCGGATCAGGAAGCGAGGCGAAATGTATGTGGCTGTCTAGCGGCTTGTAGGATGTATCTTGCGTCATCATGGTCTGCTTGTAGGATCCGGCGTCTGATTCGCGATCCGAAGCACCATCGGCCTGTGGGATGGAGGGCAACGTCTGCATGCCCATGCCCGAAGTCCCTGGAGCATGTGAGCTACCACGACTACTGGTAGACTTGCCCCGGGAGCGTAATCTTTGGAAGAAACCAGGGTGGAAACTATCGTTATCGTCGTCTGATTCATCGGTCGGAAACTGGGACATGCCGAGAGGCGGGTGGATGGTCCGTACGACGGTAGCGCTGCGTGTTGGTGGACGACTGGGGTCGAGGACCGTTTTCCGTCTTCGGAGACCGTCAAATTCGACCTGTTCGCCTTCGCCAATCGGCTCCATGTGCTCTTCTTGAATCTTCTTAGCCTCAGCGAGCTCCTTGTGCGACCTAGCCTTTGACAGTGACCTGAGGATTGCTGCGCCACCACGAAGAGTGTCAGCTCGGGGCTCGTACTCGGGCTCCTCCATCTCTGCGACGGTTCGCACTTGGTCAAGATCGCCCTTGAAGACAGCTGAGTCCGGCACGTCCTTTGCCGACTTGGAGAGTTGTAGCAGAACGACGCCGGAACAGATTTGTAGGAAGCCCATGATGACAGTGACGATCTGGAGTGGGGTGCCTTTGAATCCTTGGAACAAGACAGCCGAAGTGACGATTGTCGCAGACGTGAAGAAGACGTAGTATGTTGGTGTCACTAAAGCAGCGTTGAACAAGTTCAAGGCTTTCTGGGCAAAGCTTAGCATTCTCCACATGGCCAAGAAAGAGAGATGGACTTACGTTCAGGTAGATGATCTCCGTCAGTAACGTGACCACAACAAAGACTAGTAGCACGTAGAGGAACCATTCCTTAAACTGTCCGCCGTATGTGCCAGAAGCCTGCGCTACGACGGCAGCACCGAGACCTTGGGTTGCGACAACACTCAGTCCTCCGATCAGACTGCAGATAGTGATGTAGACCATCATAGTCTTCTTTCCGTACTTGGGGCCGAGCCAGAGAGCAATAACAACACATGCGATGATGATGACACCTGCATAGCTGAGAAAACCTGGAGCAATGACCCATTTCTTCATGTCTTGAATGCGCGCAACAGACGACTGCTCGGGTGCGTTTACTGCAATTACAACGGACCCGATGATGCAGTTGAAACAGCCTACTTTTCCTACAAAGCTCAAGCGTTCCTTCAAGAATATAGTGGACAGTATAGCGCATATGACGACGGAGAGGGCGCCCATGGGGGTTACGAGGATGGCGTCGGTGAAGGCGTATGCGACGAGATTACTACCAGGTATTAGTAGGAGGTCCGGATCTGACGCTTCGTGGTGTTTACCATATTTCTCCAACAATCATGAGTGTCATACCGAGCCACCACCAAGCGTTCTTGAGGTATCCATAGCCTTCTCCCGCCTCTTCATTGTACTTCTTGTTCGCCTGTAATAGACCGTGTTTCTTTATAACGAATGATGTCCCGATGAAGACTCCCGATGCGATGGCTAGGACTAGACCAATAATCTTGTATGAGCCTGGGCGGGTTCCTGTATCGCCGCCCATGCCCCCAGCGCGGGCATCCAGCTGGTGGGCGGCATAGAGGAGGTGTGCGGTCGAGTCCATGGCTTGAGGTGGGTCGCAGTGGATGCTGCCAAGTGCTAGTGCACCGGCGATTCGACCTGATGGTATAGTTGACTGTAAAGTGCTTTTTTACCGTGGAAGCATGAATAATAGTGTTTGCGACTGGAACGTCTTGGGTGAGGTGCACGAGGCTGGGCTGCACGTGGAGGAGCGCTGAATGACCGGAGGCAAGAACGCTTTGGGAAGTCTGTTTGGACAGGGTCCAGGGCACCACGGAGATGAGTACGAGCAAGGCGCAATCGCAGTCGCAGAGGGAAGTCGCAGAGAGCGGAGGGGAAGGCGCGGGTGGTGAAGGGGTTTCTTTTGTTGGAGTACGAGGAAGGCGCAGTCTTTCGGTGCAGATGCGGGCCGTTGGTGCGTAATCGTGGTGCGTACAGCTGAGAGGTCTAGATGCGAGGGTGATTGGTGCGCAGGTTGGTGGTGTTTACACAGCAGCTGGGGGCCAAAGCCGTGCCGCAGACAAAGGCAGCAAACGTTAATATACCAAACTTGCGACGGGACTTTGGGCAGGTAAACAGAAACATGCGACGGTGGAGGCCGTTCCGCGTCGTTCCTTGCCCGTCAACATGTAATGTAATCTCGCTGCAGGGGCAACGGGTGCATTGATCGTGCGAGTCCTAGGCCCTGAGACGTCACCGGCCAAGAGATCGGCGCTCGCCCACCAACGCTTGACAGCTTGCAGGGCCAGAAATAGACGATCAACAGTCGCGAGCCAGTACGCGACGTTTGATGTTCCTCGACATCTGCACCCTAACTGCAGCATGATTGAACATGGCAGTGGACATTGACGACCGAGACATTTTCGCCGCCGCCAGCGTGGCTCAGATCCATGAAGCCCTCGGCCAATTGCACGAGCACGAGGCCAGCATCACACAGCGCCTAAACGCCCTCATCGCCTCGCAGAAGCATCTCTCGCGCGAACTCGGTCGCCTCGATCTGCTCCGCGCCCACCTCGGCACCCAGGCCGTCAACACGCGCGCCATCAGCAATGGCATGCTCTCCGACGCCGCCTCGACTGCGAGCCGGATATCGAGCGCCGTCAAGCGGTTAGACCAGGAACAGTCGAATGTCAAGGCAACACTCGAGGTGGTGGAGCAGGTGGCAGAACTCAAGGCATGTGTGCTGGGCGTCCATGGCTCCATGGGAGCTCCACAAGACTGGGAGACGGCTGCTGGCTATCTCCACCGCGCCGCCAAAATACCCGACGACGTCGTAAACGGCAGTTTCGCAGACGAGATCGTGCCGACTGCTGAAGTGCCGGATCCGCCGCGCGTGACGCTAGATGCAGCAGCAGAGTCGCTGTGTGGCCTCTTCTTGCGCGAATTCGAAAAGGCTGCGCAAGAGGGCGACGGCTCCAAGGTGACGAGGTTCTTCAAACTGTTCCCCTTGATCGGACGGACAGATGTAGGCCTGGATGCATACGGTCGATATGTTTGCCAGGGAGTAGCTTCGCGTGCGCGGACAAACTTCAATTCGGCTGCGCCAGCTCAGAGGAATGAGCCCTTCTTCTACGGCAACACCATCACAAAACTCTTCGAGCATATCGCTCAGATTGTTGATAGCCATGAGCCGTTGGTCGAGCGTCACTACGGATCAGGCATGATGCAGAAGGTTATTGAACGTCTACAAATTGAGGCCGATGTGCAAGGCGGCATCGTGCTCGACACATGGCATGAAGAGCGTCACATAGACCGCAAGCTGACTGACATCAAATCTTATGCCTTCTCCTTCCTTGTCCAAAGCTTTCTTCCCTCCCAAAAACCTGCTTCTGGAATACCTCGTTCCAGCTCGCCAGCCAACGGTGCTGGCCGAGTCAGCGAAGACGAGGGAGTGGACATGAAAGAGATTGATGGCTTGCTTGGAGAGGGCGCACTAATGCTAGGACGCTATGCGCTGTATGCGCGTTTCCTCTCTGACAAGTGTGCAGTAAGTGGCAAATGTACATGTTCGCTTTCAACAACTTACTTTTGCAGCCCGCCGAGCCTGAAGACCGCATCGACTACGGTTTAGTGATGCCCAATTTCTTAGCTACCAGTAATCTCCACAAGAAAGTGAACAGCCATCTTATCGAGCCTGTCAATGCCATGACAACCTTTTTCTTTCGTAGGTCGGTGGAGAAGGCTTTTCAGTTGGACGAAGCGCCAGCAGATCTCACGCTGAATCCAACCAAACCTCTTGGGTCCAACCCACCTTTCATCACCTCCGCAGTCGACGATGTCATGTACATTGTCAATCAGGTAATTCAGAGAACCCTGGCAACCTCGCAACGTGCCGTCGTCTCTAGTGTCGTGCCTGCGGTAAGCCATATCCTGGGCGCAGAGTTTATCGGTATGATACAACGGAAAATGCGTGACGAAAGTTACCCCAAGCCCGTTATTCAGGGCGGTCTTCCTCCCGAAGACAAAGTTATTGCCTTCTTGGTGCTCATCAACAACCTGGACATTGCGAACGACTACGTCAAACGAATAGTCTCGCAGCAGCTCGGCCGTCACTCGCAAGCTGGCGAAGAGGATACAAAATCACCTTTGCACGACCTCTTTCCATTCGGACACGACGCTATATTCGTTGAGAACACACTGAAAGCAATGGAAAAGTCATTTGCATCCAAGAGCGGAGATCTGCTCAACGATGGCATCACTGTCTTATTCTCAAACGTCCTCAAGCCTCGCATTCGACCGATCCTGGCTGAAGCGTTCCGAGACATAAAGTACGACCCCGAGGATGGCGAAAATGAGGATGAAGAAGAGGACGATGTCGATGTGGTAAAGTCGCGTTTTGACCGCGGTTGGGGAGTCGTGATCCGTCCTATCAAGCGTATCTTGACCTCGGCAAATTTTGATCGTCTCCTGGCATTGGGATTGAACTCTCTCGCATCTTCGCTCGAAAAGCGCATCAAAAGCTACTACGGTAGAGTCAACGAGCTGGGTGCTGTTAGGCTCGAGCGCGACGTTGCTGGTATTATCACAGCCGCTACAAGCGGTGGCGCGTATTCACTTCGCGATGCATTCCAAAAGAGTACTCAGATGACTCTGATTCTAAACATGGAGGACGACGAATTTGCGGAAGTGGCGGATGACACGTCAGGCGAGTCAGGTATACCCTGGGTATTGGATGCTGAGGAGAGGAAGAGAGTAAGAGCTATCGTGAAAGGTTGATGAGATGGTGTGGCTCGGCCTTCGCGAGCGGGGTGCAGAGTTTCCGTAGTCTTGACTAGGAAATTCTTGGCATGCAATCTATACAAATGAAATACTCTGGACTGCCTCGGTAGTGGGTATACTCCGCAATTAATCGTCTTTCTTTCCGTGAGGGACGCTTTCGTATCGCGATTGCTCCTTTTGTACACGGTCCATATTAGTAGCACGCTGCTAGCCGTCGCGGCCGACCACCTGTGGCTCGTGCCGGCTTGGCTCTGCTTGAACACCTTTCACTAGGAGCACCACACGCGATCAGTTACTCCTTAACGTGTCGGCGATATTTTTAGTTGTTGTCCATTTTGTACCGTATTACTAGGTTGCCAGGCGACTATCGGCCCGCCGTCTACGCCATGTGGCTGTCAACCACAAAGATCCTGCTTCCCTGCGTTTCGCTTCTGTTGCCATCCCTGTCATTGGCTCAATGTCCACTCTATCAGAATTACGCCGCCCATTACCATGAGCCTTACACAGAAGGAACATGGAACTTAAGCTACGCCAGACCGATTGTACCGTGTCGGACATTTCGTTCGCGACAGGTTGAGGATACGATTGAAAGGTTGAGAGGTGTAATCAAAGATGTTGATCTCTTTCGCGTACGAGCACCGCCACTGTGTTGCAATTCATGCTGATTCGACCACAGATCTTCGAAAACTCCTGGCCCAGTACACTAGATACGACGATTGAATGGCGAGGGTGGTCAAACACCACGAGTAACCTAGACGAGCTTGAAGGTCCGCTCATGAGCATGAAACCGGAAGAACTGACTTTTGTCATTACCGGCGACATCGAAGCAATGTGGTTGCGCGACTCGGCAAACCAGCTTCAAGCATACGTCTCCGTCTTGAAGAAAGACGACAGCCCAGACAGCCTGGCCAGTCTTTTTCGAGGCGCCATCAATCTGCAAGCACGCTACATCCTCGAGAATGCGTTTTGCAATGCATTCCAAGCGCCTGATGAAAGTGGCGTCGTACACAAAAGCAGTCTGAATAGCGACCGCATCACACCGTTGTTCGACTACTACAAAGTGTTTTCCTGCCAATGGGAGCTAGATTCCCTGGCTTCGTTCCTGCAGCTCTCTGTCGATTATGTGACTGCAACAAGGGATTATGATTTCTTCCAGAATTCCAGTAACTGGACCAAAGCCGTTGAAGTCGTGCTTGAAACAGCAGAAAGCATGACTATAGACAGCTACACCGAAGACGGCGAATGGCAACATACCCCTTACACCTACTGCGCACCTTACGGCGGCACTCCAATCAACAACTGTAATGGCAGTCCTCACAGAGGAAACATTGGCCTCATACGCTCTTTCCACCGCCCCAGCGACGATGCGTGTACATACCAGTACCTTATCCCTTCCAACATGATGTTTTCGTCCGCCCTCAACACCTCTTCAACAATAACATCGCGAATCATGCCCCGCACCAGCGGCCTAACAGCACGCATGCAAGCCTTGAGTACGGCCATCAATCGCGGCATAGAAAAGTACGGAATAGTTTCGGACCCCACCTATGGCAAAATATACGCCTACGAAGTCGACGGCTACGGTTCTGTCAATATCATGGATGATCCCAATGTGCCCTCTCTTCTCTCAGCTCCTTTTCTTGGTTATACGACGCTGCGCGACCCCATCTACCAGAACACGCGACGCAAGATTCTGAGCAGGGATAATCCGTACTATGCTGTCGGACCTGTAATCACTGGTGTTGGGAGTCCGCATACACTACCTGGCAGACCGTGGCCTATGGCGCTTATCATGACAATATTGACTAGTGAAGACGACACGGAGATTGTTCAGAATTTGATGTGGCTAGTGCAGAGTACGGATGGCTTGGGTCTCATGCATGAGAGCGTGCATGCGAGGGATAAAGCAGTGTGGAGTCGGCAGTGGTTCAGCTGGGCGAATGGGCTGTTCGGGCAGATGATCTTGGATTTGGAGAAGAGAAGGCCGTGGATTCTGGGTATGAGTTTTCAGTAGTCGTTAAGGCTAGAATGCAGGACGGTTACTATGTCCCGTCGCGTTGGTCACTCTGAATGTGAGGCGAACGTGATAACTAACTACACCATCCAGCCGATGTTGTATGCTGAATAAGCAAATTAGAATGAATATATGCCGTGATGGAGTAGTTTTCCGCACACACCACCACTCCTTCCTACTACAGCTTTGCCACCCTGGCCAAAATATCTCTCGCTTCTTGTCGCACCTTCCGCACAATCTCTCCCGCACTTTGCACTTCCTTGACCAAACCCACACCAGTGCCAGCCCAAATCGCCGCGCGCCCTTGCAAGCCCGTCTTGTATCCTTTGTCTTCGCCTGTAACAGCCTCGTTGTGCAACTTTTGTATCTCTTCTAGGCTCATGCCACTCGCAAAATCCCGATGACTCTGGGCTACCAAGCCGCGTCCATCATACAGCTCTGGCCATATGTTGGGGCCGCGCAGCTGATCGAACAGCTTCGAACGCGTCGTCACTTGACCGCCATCTTGTGCTTCCAGGACTGCAGCTTGGTACACGGGATGTACGTTCACCTCTTCCGAAGCCAGAAAACGCGTCCCCATCACTACGCCCTCAGCACCCAGTGTGAGTGCGGCAGCAACGCCGCGCCCGTCAGCGATACCGCCTGATGCTATGATGGGCACACGTGAGAAGCCTCCCGCGGCAAGTGCATCCGACGCCTCTGGTAACAGTGAAACGATACTTGCACCCTTCTCAAAGCCATGACCCCCAGCATCCGCACCTTGGAGACACAGAACGTCCGGCTGCGCGATCTTCGCGACGTGAAGAGCTGCTGTCACACTACCGAGTTGAATCCAGATCTTGCTCTCCGGTGAGACTTTGCGTATCGCCGACACCCATTCCGCGAAGTCGTCTAATGATTTCGGAACGAATAGCCAGACCACGGCAGGCTTGAATTCTTCGATTACTGGGAGAATGTCATGCAGCTTTAGCACGAAAGGGAGGAAGCCGAGACCAACTGGAAGGGTACGCGATGTCGAGAGGTCAGGCTTGGCTTTGAAGGCTTCTGCGGCAGTACGCAGCTCTTTCTTGACGTCTTCCATGTTGAACAGACCTCCGATCATACCAAGGCCACCCGCGAGCGTTACAGCCGACGCGAGTTTACCACCTGCGAACCCCGCCATAGGCGCGTTCATGATTAGCGGCGACGACGTCCATGGCAGCTGTTCTTTGAGCGTCGACATTGCAGACTAGGGTACACCTCAGGAGAAGCCTGGAAACGAAGATGATTTGCAAGATTGGAAGCACCTTGTCAGATGTTATACTGGGTTGAGTGTGGAGTAAGCAACGCCCTGTGGAAGGGCCTTACACAACATGCTGGCCATACAAACGCAATATTACCATGGCTACGTCCGGTCACAGATGACGCATCACGTCATCGAGAATATCAAGATGGAAAATACCTCGGCTTGTACAGAAACGTTTATTGGAACAGCCATTTCGCGTTTGTGAGGGACGACAGAGTTACACGAGCTCGAACCCCTGATGCCCCGCACTGAGCCTCACCGTGCTGCTCCCAGCCTGCTCGCCGCCTTCTATTACCACGAAACATATTCATTCTAATTTGCTCGTTCAACATCCAACATCGGCTCGATGGTGTAGTTGGTTATCACGTTCGCCTCACATTCACAATGTCCAACGCGAAAGGTCGCGAGTTCGAGCCTCGCTTGAGTCATTTCTTTTTGGAATCGCAGCATCCTGGCATGACTGTGATGCTGTATACTTCTTTTTGCGAGAGGCTCAGTATCGCAGATGGCTGGTGGTCGTATGAGCCAGAGCGCAGATTGGTGGAAGCACCTCACAGTGGGAAAGCCCGAACAGACAGAAACAACAAGCTCTTTATTGCAAGCCACATTGCCATATTTTGGATGGCGTAGGCTTGATACAGAGATGCCAATGAAGTCGGCGTAGGTTGCGGGATGTCTTTTTGCAGGCGAATTTTGTCTTCACCACAAAAGAGAAACAAACAATCAGGCGAGATGAATCACGATATCGCGGTTTGAGAGCAAGTAGAGTGGACCAGTATTTTCGAGGGAAGCAGATATTGCTCTGGAAATGATTGATAAAACTAATCGTACACGAGGCAGGCATATACTCAGCTCCAATCTCTGTGGACATATACAGACCGGATGTAGTGTCTCGGCGCAAAGACATATTGGCTACAATTGCGAAGCTTCAGAAGTCAATCAGAATCCTATAACACTACAAGAGAAATCCTTGTGCTTACAACGGGCAAAAGATCAAAGCAGAGCAGGATGGTGGGCAAGTCAAGCAGAGGGGTATCTATTTGACAGGTCGAAAAGAACTGAGATTAGAACAGTGCTCCAACGGCTAGAAAGCCGACTACGCCAACCAACCACCCCATCATGACCTCTGTCTTGGACACAGACACCACCCTTGTCGCAGCTCCAGTAAACTCTGGGAGGCCTGTCTGATTTCTGGGTGCGGCGGTGCCATTACTTGGGACTAAGAACCCAACCGTCATGGTAACTACCGGTGCTGGTGGAGGCAGGTTCTCAGGCATGATGGGTGTGGATGCAATTGGTGTAACCGATACTGCAGATGACGAAACTGGAGTTGCCGAACTTGAAGTGTTATAAGCAGGAATGAACGATGAAGATGGGCATGGAGATGAAGTCGGCGATACGGACTCAACCGATGTTTCCAGAGTTGCTATCAGTCAATCAGTCAGTTGTCAGTTCATCTTTGCGGTTCAAACTGTCAGTCTGGAGGTAGTGAACTGACCTGATTGACTGCCAAGACATTTTTTAGAATCGCGAACTGAGACTG